GTATGATGGTTGATTTCATGTGTCAACTTGGCTAGACTAGGATGCCCAGTTGTTTGGTCAAACACTAGTCCAGATGTTGTTATAAAGGTAGTTTTTAGCCATGCAGAACTGTGAGTCAATTAAACCTCTTTCTTCATAAATTACCCAGTCTCACGTAGTTCTTCATAGTAGTGTGAAAATACAGAGAGTGTGTCAAGAATGAAGAAATGCAAATGCACTTTGTGTCTCTATGGATTTGCATTTCATATAAATGGATCATAAAATATGTGGCCTTTTGTGTCTGGCTTCTTTTGCTTAGCATAGGTTCATTCATGTTGTGGTCTGTATCAGTGCAGATAATCCTTGATTTATGACTGGGTTATGTCCCAAGGAAACCATCATAAATGGAAAATATTATTGAGTCAAAAATGCTTTAAAACACCTAGCCTACTGAACATCATAGCTTAGCCTAGCCTGCCTTCAGTGTGCTCAGAACACTTACATTGGTCTACAGTTGGGCAAAACCATCTAACACAAAGCCTATTTTATAATAAAGTGTGGAATATCTCATGTAAGTCAAGCCATTGAGCACTGTACTGAGAGTGAAAAGCAGAGTGGTTGTATGGGTGCTTGAAGTATGGTTCCCACTGAATGCATATCATTTTTGCACCTCCGTAGAGTCAAAAAGTCTTAAGTCAATCATTGTGAGTCAGGGACTGTTTGTACTTCTTTTCTTTTTACTGGCAAACAATACTGCATCATATGGACATACCACATTTTGTTTATCCATTCATCAGTTGATGGTTATTAGTGTTGTTTCTGCTGTTCGGCTGTTATGAATAATGCTGTCATGAATATTCATATATGAGTTTTTGTGTGAACATATGTTTTTAATTCTCTTACAATTAGAGATTAGCTAAACAATGTAATAAAACACTATGGAACCATCAAAAAGAATAATATAGAGTTGTATATGCTCATATGGTCAGAGTGTTAAATGAAAATGTGAGGTACATTAAAATGTGTATTGAACAAACTCCGTGTATAATTGAAAACAAACAAATAAGTGGATAAATATGGAAAAAAGAATGAAGGAACTGGACTTAGGAGGAAAGTGGTTATTCCATTTTTTCTCCCCAAATGCAAGCTGTAATGTGCAGATACCTGTAGAACATTCCAAAGGGGACCTACCGGTGTGCTTGTGTTAAAAGAAAAAGAAAACAACAGCAAAAAAAACATACAAAACCCACCAATTACATCCCTTAAAGGTAATCTTATTTCACCTCTGGTGAGTTTTTCATGAATGTACAATTAAGGTAATTGCCAGTAACTAGGTGAGTTTAGCCAAATTAGGAAGTATTTGCTATTCTAGAACTTGTGTAGGCACAATTAAAAAATAAAAAAGAAAAATCATTAATGTTCTTGAAAAGCTTCCAGTGTTTTCAGTCCTACAGTGCCACTCAAAAAATGACCATCAATCTTAGTTTTGTCCCTGTGAAGCCATCTATTTATTCCCTGGGGGCGCTCTCTTCTTTCTATGTCTTCCTTTTGTTTCCTGGAAATCCTTCCCAGACAAACCCCTCTCTAGTCTGTTACACTGGGGTCTTGCCTCTCAGTGTTTATACCTGTGTGGTCGTGTCCCCTGGAATCTGGATTGGCCAACCACTTTAAGCCCCGGAAATGTTACTGTGCCAGTTCTGTCCCTAAACCCTAAAAAGGCCTGTCAGCTTCTGCTTTTGTGCATCTGGGAGCCCTAAACCATTACGTAAAAAGTCCGGCTGTCCTGTTGGAAAGACACGTGGAGAGGCCCCATAACAAGGGGGAGGCCCTGAGATCCTGGATATACCAGCATCCCTCCTAACCCAGTGGCTAAATGTAGTGGCCTCTGACAAGACTAGCAGGGCTGCTACCCAGGTGAACCCAGTCCAGCTACAGAATCCTGAACAACAGCAACAATAACAACAAAAAACAGTTATTGTATCTTAAGTCACAAAGTTTGGAATGGTTTGCTATGTAGCAATAGATAAACCAAACAAATAACTGACTCCTTTGCCTAAAGGGAGAGAAGTAATAAAGTTTGAATTAAAACACCCTTACTCCAAAGGGTTAAGAACTAACTTCTTCATTTTCAACCTAATACTTTAATAAGCTACTCTTTCAAGTCCCACTTAGAGGGAGTGAGATAGTTAAAAGCCGAGTGACCTTGAGTAGTGAACTTAAATGGAATTTGTTTTTTTTCAGCCCACATGTTTTAATCAAAGAAGTGTCTCCTTCCCATTAAAGCTCCAAATCTTTCATTTTCCTCTCTGTCTGCTGTTTCCATGTGCATGTTTGCTGAGTACACTCAAACACATGTTTATTCCCTTGAGCATTTCTTTACCTACCTTTCCGTATTTCCTATTCCTCAGAAATCCCTTCCCTTCAGCGTCTCCTCTCATTTTCCCTTTGCTCTCCTTATCCAGTGAGTCATCACAGCTCCTGGTTCTCTTGAACACTGGTTCTCAAAGTGTGGCCACTGTCCCAGCAGCATCCACATCACCTGGGAATTTTTTAGTAATGCAAATTTCGGACTCTACTTCAGACCTACTGAAGCAGAAACTCAGAATGGGGCTTGCAATCTGGTTTAACAAGCCCTGCAGGGGATTGCAGATGCACACTGAAGTTTGAACACCACTGCCCTAGAACAGGGGTCAGCAAACCCTTTCTTTAGAGGGCCACATTGTAACTATTTTAGGTTGTGTGAGCAACAAGGCCTCTGTTGCAACTCTTCAACTCTATTGTATGAGGAACAGCCACAGACAGCTGTATTCTAACAAAAACGTTACTTATGAGCATTAATATTTGAATTTCATATAATTTTCATGTGTTACAAAATATTGTTATTCTTTTGCTTTTTTCCCCCCAACCATTAAAAAATGTGAGAACTAATCTTAGCTCACCAGCTGCATAAAAGCAGGCAGTGGGTTGGGTGTGAACCACAGGCCTCAGTTTGCAGACCCCTGCCCTAGAACATCTCTGGTTTGCTCTTACTGAGGACACATTTTGCTGAAGAATCCATCTTTAATTCAACAGCCTTTTCTTTCTGAGGCCCCCACATGATCTATACTCTCCAGGCCATTGGTTTTCCTTAAAGCTTTATCTTGAGGAAATGGCTCAGCTGGGATATTGGATCTCACCTAGGGAGGCCTGTATGTGTCCCTTCAGCCAGGGTCTACCTTCCCCAGCAGGAGAACTGACTATGGCTCAGATCAACCTTGATGGGAGCAGATTCCAGCTATTCTACTCCCAAGACCAGTAGTGTAGTCCATGCTGAGCCAGACTTCTGGTGCTGACCCCAAATAAACCAAAAGTGTGGAGTTGAGGTGGCCCCTCCAGAGTCATCCCAGGGAGGGATGATATTGGACTAGATTACATCCCCACAGCAACTGCCATCTGGAGTCATTCTCCCAGGATTGGTGCTCCCTGGAGTCTGGATGAGGTGTCATTTGTTTAGTGCCATTCCAAATCAGACCTTGTGGGTGGTCCAAGGGAACAAGGATTATGGGTCTTGGCACAGTTGGGAGAGATTGCACAGGGAGTGGTGGGCGGGAATGCAGCAAGCATTAGTCTTATAATTTTAAAAGAAGAAAACAACATGAATCCTGCCACTCTCTGAGATGCTGACATCATTTCTCCCTCTTCCCTTCTCTTCCCAGGGGAACATACAGACACCTTAATGGTGGCTGGTGTTTATTTTCCCATGCTGTATACAGTCAAAAAAACCCTTAAAGCCATTACACTGCTATCTCTGCCACTGCTCTGAGAATTGTTATGTTTCCAGGCTCTGGAGGTAAATGGCAAGCAGATGGATTTGTGTGTGTGTGTGCTATTAAAAGAAGCAAAACATTTTGGGGCTTCTTGTTTCTGGCAGAGCTGAAGATTTTGTTATTGTTGTCGTCAAATAAGTAAAGGAGAAAGGTGTTAAATTGGCGAACTTCTTTTCCTGCTTCAGAATCAGAGCATATCCCTCTCCTGAAAAAGATCAACAGCACAGTGCATCTATCATTGTACTTAAGCTTCCCCATATGGATCTCAGCAGTAGCTCTTCAGTGTGGTCCAGGGGTAGAGCTCAGCCTGAGCAAAGGGGTGGCTTCCTAACCTGCAACTGCATCACACTGTGCAGGGAAAAAAAAAAAAGATAGGTAGAATGATTAGGACAATAGTCATCAGCAGCAATTACCAGGAACCAGGCATTTGACACAAAAGATAATGAAATAGAGGCACAGAGAAATCGGGTAACTTGCTCAAGGTCACCCAGTTAAGTGGCCAACACTGATTGCAGTTCTAGATGTACTTGGCTCCGTGTTCCCTCAGTCACTTTATGCTGCCTCCCAGCATCGACTAGTAGGGCCCTTTTACTGATCATAGCCCTTCAGGTACTACGTACCATGCGCTATTCTAAGCACCTTACATAATTAACTAATTTAATTCTCATCATTACATGAGAAATACCATGATTTTCCAAATTTACATAAGAGGCAATTGAAGTACCAAGAGGAAAGAACTCCTCAGAGCTAGCAAGTGACTCAGTCAGAGTCTGAGCCCAAGCCCACTTGCTCCAGGGCCCTTTCTCTCAACCACTGCTCTATAGGCTCTGGAATCGGACGACAGGGCTGCAGTCCCAGCTCTGCCACTTACGAACCGTGTCACCTTTGACAAGTTGTGTAATGTGATGGAGCCCTCAGCTTTCTTACTTGTGACATGGGCCAAAAATAGTTGATAGTGAGAAGTACACAAATTGTCTCCTGAAAGCTTACTGGCCAGGCAGGTAGCAGATGTGTAGTAAATGGAGGCTACTCTTAGGGGTCTGGAGTCCGACCAGGCTAAAGGGTGGGAATGTGGGTGGAGGAGTAGACATGGATTTTTAAGACTTTTAAATCTTTTTAAAAATTTTTATATTTTAGAGACAGGGTTTCATCCTGTCACCCAGGCTGGAGTGCAGTGGTGCAATCATAGCTCACAGCAGCCTTGAACTTCTGGGCTAACATGATCCTCCAACCTTGGCCTCCTAAAGTTCTGGGATTATAGGCATGAGCCACTGGGTCTGGCCCTAAATCATGTTTAATAATTTACTTTCGTTACAAAAAAATGCATACATTATATAAAATGCAGAAAATGCAGATAAGGATGAAGACAATAGAGAGTCTCATAACTCCAGGAGTAAGAGATTAACACTATTAACATTTTGATGCCTATTCTTTTGGTCTTTTTCCTGTGCATATGGACACCAATATTTTTATAAAGTTGAGATTATATTGTACACTCTGTTGTATGACCTTGTCTTTTTACTTATCTATTATGAACATATATCTACATCGTTAAATATTCTTCTATAATATCATTTAAAAATAAATATATGGTCTTTTTTGTATATACATATCTGTATAGTTACACTGTAATTTAAAAAATCAACTCACTATTATTGGATATTCAGGTTGTTTTCAATTATTCCCTATTAGATAAGTAAATCCTTGATAACTCTTATAGTAAGTAAGAATTACCTTCCTCTGCCTTGTGCTGTCTTCACTGAGTGTTTCCAGTGGACACAGACATTGGCATCATTTGAGATTTTAGTATCACATTTGAGATCTGTATTTGGGTCCCGTTCTGGCCATATATTTACTGTGTAACCTGGAATAAATTACCCTTTCTGAGTTTCGGTGTTTTCATTAGTAAGTGAGTACCAATAATAATAGTGACTACCTCATGAAATTATTCCGAGAGTTAAACTGAGAGACTTAGCATAGACCATCAATGTGTGTAAATGCTGGGTCAAAGGATATGTACTATTTTTGAGACAGGATAAAATTGCTCTATTACCTTCCAGAAGGGTTGAGCTATTTATATCCTTGACAGCAGTGTAAGACAGTACCCATTTTCTCGGCAACTTGACAACATTGAGTATTATCATTTTAAAAAATTTGCCAACTTGATGGGCAAAAAAGATACAGCATCATTTTAATTTGCATTTCTGATCATGCGATTTTTAATAAATGTTTACTTATGTGAGTCACATGGTCCTGCTGACCGTGGAAAGAGGAGACTGATAAGCGAACCAAGGTACCCAGAATGAAGGATGGCAGAGTTATAAAATACGCAGCTGATGGGGGAGACAGGGCTTGGAAGAACGACACTTTATAAGCATATAAACTGTCCCTCTAGAGATCTGAACTCAAAATTATAGGCAGCATTGTATATTGGGTTGTCTGGGAATTTGAGGCAGCCAAGATTCAAAGCTTGGAAAGGAAGTTTAAGTTGGAGGACAGACAAGGGAACTGAGCCTCTTTTTCACAGGATGGTTGGCCACACGCCTCTGAACACTTTCAAGCCTGGCCCCGCTCCCTATGTGGTGGGGAATCAGTTCCAACAGCCCCTGTGTCTGAGGTGCTCTGCCCCCCACTCTCACCGTCATGGAAGGAATAGAGCAGCAGGGCAAGACTGCCATCAGCTTGATGATGCAATTCCTCTGGCAGCTGACAACAACGAAGGGCAAAACAACCTCTGCCAATGAAGGAGCATAAAAACCCTGAGTGTTAGTCCTTGGCACTTCTTCACGGCTTTATTCCACATCAGAGGAAAATAAGGAAGCAAGATGTAGAAACAGGGCTAAAATTAGCCTTCCAGATTCTATTTTATAAGACTTCTAGAGTGTCACCCCCACACACCCACACACAAACAGTAATGAAAGATATTTTCACTTTTGCCAAGCTCATCTATTGACTGATCCCTTGCCTGAGGTCTTCTGAAATGCACTTGTTACTCTAACCTGGAACCAGGACTTCATTTATTCATTCAGTCACGCTCAACACTCTGAATACAATGGTATAGAAAATACGCTCTTGTCCTGTAGATGCTCTTAGTGACCTGGGGAAACCCTCAGCCACTTGCGAGTTTTTCCAACTCAGTGCTTTAGAAAACTTGCAAATACAACTATATATTAAGTATGTGTGTATATATATGTATATATATACACACACACGTATATATTTAAATTATCATTGCTAGTAGGTATCAAGGAGCATTCAGTGACTCCTCTCCTCTTGAAGAACCAAAGCTGATGAAAAGAAGGCCAGGTAAGGTACAGACCCTGGGTAGAAAAGGAACTTTTCTGTTCTGAGAGCCACATACCATCCTGGGACCTTCCTCTGCCTTGTGCTGTCTTCACTGAGTGTTTCCAGTGGACAACTCTCAGATGCCCAGGAGCTGCTCTGCTGGGTGCCACACCACTCCTCAGAACTTCCAAATAGCTCTCGTTGCTCCTACTGGGGAACATGCCCAGATATTCTCACTGCTAGGCTCTTTTTTGGGCTCCCAGGTAGCACTTCCTCAGCACCCACCTCTTGGCAGAAGAAGCCAATACATTCCCTTTAGATCTGGAGCCCATGAGAAAGAGATATTCATACTACAAAAGGAGAATCTTTAGAGGGTAACCCCAGACATGTAATTATTACCACAAGATCTTTGAAAGCTCTGGCAGAGATTTTGACTTGTAATCATCTGGAATCATTGCTTGGTAGACTGGGCAATTGTCCTGCATCTTTTAGGACTAATGATATTGGAAACGAGAGGGACACTGCTTGGCATTTGGGATTGTAAATAGCAGCAGGATGGACATGCTGATGGTCCAGCTTCTACAGGGCACGTAGCTGTTAACTGATGGAATCAACAGCCTAACCTTGCACAACAGCCTAACCTTGCAAGGGAAAGCCCCCCACCCCTTGCTTATCTCTGCTGACCCAAGGAAGCATCTTGGGTCCCCTGTTTCCTCAAGATTTCCCCTGACTGTCCAGCCTCTCAGGTCACTGATCTTGCCTGTCCTATTTTTCTATCTTGACACCTTCTTGTGCACCTCCAAATAACCAATCTGTCCCCATGTCTCTCTGACTTCAAATCCTAACTATCTCTCAAGTCTATTCAGTTCTGATTATGTTCAGCACCATCACCCTCTTTGTAGCCACCATCATCACTCCCCACGACTCTTGACATTTTGGTCTCCATATTTTCAGTCTTGTTCCTCTTCCATTTATTCTCCCCAGCAAGTCTGGGAGACCTTAAAATACTTCAATGGCTTCCTATTGCTCTTTAAAAAGTCCCAAATTTCTAACATAGCCTTATGGCCCAGGTCCTTGCACATACGTTCAGCTTCTTTCTGCCCCTGTTCACTGGGCTTCCATTAAGTTGGTGCAAAAGCAATTGCAGCTTTTGCCTTGAAAGTAATGACAAAAACCACAATTGCTTTTGCGTCAACCTAATAACACCTTAGCCATAGCCATCTTTTGGTTTCTCAGACCACAATTGCTCCCTTCTGTCTCAGGTCACTCATGTTTCCCTCAGTCTAAACCACTTATTCCCCATCCCCCGTTTAATTCCCTGAATTGTTCAGATCTCTGCCCGCAACTCTCTTCCTTATAGATGTCCATCCTCACTTCCTGGACCAGGAAGTGCATATTCTTAGCTCTCTATGTAATGCATATTCTTAGCTCTCTATGTAATGTGTCCATCATGGCCCTTTTCACAATTCATAAATTTATATTTACATTATCATTTAATTGACTTCTGCAGCCAATTAGGCTCTAAAATACACAAGGGAAGAGACCAGAGTTTCCTTCTCACTATTCAATTTCTGGCACATGTTTGTTATATAGCGGATAATCAATAAAGTACTTATTAAAAGAATGAATAAAGAAATGACTTAACAAGACCAGTTAGCTTTCTCAATAAACCTTAAGATTTTTTTTCCTCCAGAAATAAAATACAATGTATGTATGATTTTTCCTGATTTTGTCACATTGGATACTTCAGATAATAAAATCAAAGAGGCCAAATATCTCTGGGGTTCCAGGGATTGGGAAAACAACCTGAGTTTTCACCCTTTAATGTCAATTTCATAGGTTACTCTGGTGATTTAAGGTGTGCATGGAGTAGGGTAACATAGTGAATGGGTTTTATTATTAACTTTCTTTTCCCCAGCACCTCCTACCCTTGACCTTACTCATGAGTCCTTGTCAAAAGTTTACTCAAGGATCCCTTCAGCATCACAGGCTCATGGTCTTCTTCTTGCTGCCTCCAATCATTGGTCATTAGAAAGGTATTTCTTGAGTGTACACACGTGTAAGAATGAACACATGTATGTGCAAAAACTGTGTATTATGCTTTCATTTCCAGCTTGGAATATGACCCTCTTCACCCTCTCCTAATCTTAGATTTCTAGGTCCAGCCAAAATTCTGTAAGAGTAATCGTTCCATTTGTTGAGTAATTACAATGTGCTTAACACTGCTGAGTGCATTACATAAGTTATTTCCTTTCATACTTATGAGTGGTGGGGTGGGTATTATATTTTCTATTTGAAAGAAAAAAATGGGTAAGAGCATCAAAGCTTAGAGACACTGATTAACTCATTGAGTGTCATCTGGCTGACTCTGAAAGCCACACACGTACTCGCTATGCCATGCTGCCTGCATTTATTCCACAAAGCATTTCTTGGTCATTTTCATTCTTACCGACTTCCTCTTCCTCTGAATTGTTACAGCTCCTTCTGGCTGTGACGCTTGGGATTTCATTATGCTCTGTGCAAATTTAGGACGTCCAATGTAGATTCCCTCTGTCTCCCCAGCTGTCCTTGTGCTGCAGGAGGGTAAGGGCTACCATATCTGCCCTTCCTCACATGGAGCCCAAGTTGGACTAAAGAACGTGGGGTCTGCATAGGCATATTTTGTAGTTAATTACACCCACCCCATGGCATGAAGTAGTGGGAAGGAGGGGGCAGGAGTTCATCAGGGGAGCCATCCACAAGGGAAGGGTGGCGCAGGGAACGTCCTGCAACAAGTAGGCTGCCCAGTGAGTGAGCCACGACTTTGGAAGTGTTGTGGTAGTTTTGTTTACATTTGCACATGTCCCAAGTGGCTAAGTAATCATAGAAGTATTGCTTCCATGGAAAGGGCAAGCACAGACCTCTTCGAAAACAAACTATATACATCTTGTCAATGGAATGGCATTCTGCAAAATAGAAAAGCATATGCTATGTGGTGGTGAGTGTTAGAACAACAAACCGTAGCTTAGTGATGCCTTCTGAGCAGCTTGTTTTTGCTTAATTACAAGTTGCTATAGCTCTTTCCCTTACTCAATTGTGAGCCTCTCTCCTAATTGTGTCTCACAGATGCCTAGTGAGGAGGTTATTCCGCTTGTATTTACATCATTACCAATCCACCATCAGAGTGTATTGCTAACTGGTTCTCCTTACAAATGCTTGTTGGATTTGTTTTGTGTTTTCAGTTTTATGTTCCATTGCTTGACTACTTTTTCTTTGGTTTTAATCCAAACTTCTACTTCAGCCTCTGCTCATGAAGTCTCCCTCTCCCGAGTCCTTTGGGTTGCAATAATCAGGTAGGTTACTTTCTCTTCCAGGCATTTAAATGAGACTCACTCCTTTGAGTCCATTTTTAGAAAAGTAGGCCAAAGTCATAAAGAACAGCCTTCCTGAGTGGTGACTTTCTGGCTCATCATTAATCACCTCCTTGTGAACAATCGGGAAAGTGAATCCCATGTGACTCCAGGCAGGTATCAGGCAAAATCCTCTGCTGAGTCCTGCGAGAATATAAGTAATTTTATAGAATGTGAGCAAAATAAGTTTTCCATTTTTCTAACCTGAGGTTTCTTTTTTCCTTTTAAAGTCTCAATAACTTTTGATTTTAGCTTCTCAATCAATCATAGGAAATGATTCTGAGGAGTTTGTATACTCAGTAGAGTAAGAGTGCTCCAGTGAATAGGGGGCATAAAGAGGTGCCCTAGTCCAGTGGGAGGTGGTCTCAGTCTTTTCTCAGAAATAAGTCCTACTTGATGAGTTGGATTTATTAAACCAGCAGTCAACGGCACAGGGGAAGGCAATGAGCCGAGTGGACTCTTCAGTTCTAAATTGCTCTTACTTAGTTGTGACCTAGCTCTATATGATGAATTTATTATGGGTTCCAGCCCATAATAAAGAGATATTCACACTACAAAAGGAGAATCTTTAGAGAGTAACCCCAGAGTTGACATGTAATTATTATTGCAGGATGTTTGAAGGTTCTGGCAGAGATTTTGATTGCAATCATCTGAAATCATTGCTTGGTAGACTGGGCAATTATCCTGCATCTTTCAGGAATAATGATCTTGGAAACAAGATGGACACTGCCCTTGCTTTGGCATATTGGATTTCAAACAGCAGCAGGATGGACATGCTGAGGGTGCAGCTTCCATAGGGCACACAGCTATTAACTGATGGACTCAACAACCTAACCTTGCACATTGCCATTAGAACCAGGCCTCTCATACTGAGCCACTAGCAGAAGCAGCCTCCAAAGCAGTCAGCACAGTTACTGAGCACAGGAGCCTGCAGGAGTTCTCACTGTGGAGAGACCTCCATTCATAACGTGGCCTTTCCCATCCCAATCTTTTAGGTAGAAAATAGCATCTCCCAGTCCTGTAAGAACAAGCATGGAGCTGCTGAATGCAAGGACGGGACACTGTAGACAAAGTCTGCCTATTTTATTGTACTTGAGAAGTCACCCCAGGAAGAAATCTTTAACTTAATTATAACCTAGGCCAAAAACTAAAAATATGTGGAAGAAAAGGAGCTATGCCAATTATTTTTTCAGCATCTAATTTGAAAATATTGCCTTACTTTCCAGCTCTGTACAGCTTAGCGCATTCATTCATTCATTCATTTGCCATGAATCAGAGCCTGTGCTAGGCTTTGGAGATAGATACTCACAGGCTGAAGAGGTGGGTGGATGGGAGTAGGCTCATGATTGATTCTGCTTCCTCTTTAGGATTTTCTTTTCTTTTTTCTTTCTTTCTTTTTTTTTTTTAAGATGGAGTCTTGCTCTCTTGCCCAGGCTGGAGTGCAGTGACACTATCTTGGCTCACTGCAACCTCTGACTCCCAGGTTCAAGCGATTCCCCTGCCTCAGCCTCCTGAGTAACCGGACTACAGGAGCACACCACCGCGCCCAGGAAATTTTTTTGCATTTTTAGTAGAGGCGAGGTTTCATCCTGTTAGCCAGGATGGTCTTGATCTCCTGACCTTGTTATCCACCCACCTCGGCCTCCCAAAGTGCTGAGATGACAGGCGTGAACCACCACGCCCGGCCCAGGATTTTCTTTAAAATAACATCACTGGAGTTGCAGTTCCAGTTTCGGTTACTTCCATTTCTGGAGGTAACTGGCTAACTGAATGGGGAAATGTTATCATTATCCTAGAGACTCAAGTTGAGTGGAGACACACACTGAACAGATGACATGCCAGCAAAACTTGCCCCAAAAGTTGGGGAGGGGAATGGTGCTCAACTGAACGCAGCTGCTCTTGGGAGAGTCTTGACGGAGACCTTTGCATTGACGGTGCCTGGCATCAGTGATTGAGGCGGGGCCATCTGATCGACTTTTGTCTCTGAAGGAAAACCCTGAGGAAACTCCCTACAGCCCTCAGTGGCTGGTGGATGGATAAAGAGGTGGAAAGTAAGTTGCTAAGACTGTGGATGGTCTTTCTTTCTCTCACCCTTTTGTTTCTTTTCTTTTCTTTATTCTTTCTCTTTCTTTCTTCTTTCTTTCTTTTCTTTCTTCTTTCTTTCTTTTTTTTCTTTCTTTCATCTTTCTTTCTTTCCTCTCTCTCTCTTTCTTTCTTATTTTTCTTTTTTCTTTCTTTTTGATGGAGTCTCACTCTGTTGTCCAGGCTAGAGTGCAGTGTCACGATCCCGGCTCACTGCAACCTCCGCCTCCTGGGTTTAAGCAATTCTCCTGCCTCAGCCTCTGAGTAGCTGGGACTACAGGCACCCACTACCATGCCCAGCTCATGCTTGTATTTTTAGTAGAAATGAGATTTCACCATGTTGGCCAGGCTGGTTTCAAACTCCTGACCTCAAGTGATCTGCCCGCCTCAGCCTCCTAAAGTGCTGGGGTTACAAGCGTGAGTCACCACTCCCAGGCAGACGGTGTTTCTAACCAAACAACAGGGTAGCTGCAGGCTTCAGACCTTCTCTTTCTGCTTAACTGGTTGTAAAGAATATTCATATTGCTGGAACAAGAGGAATAAGAAGGGCGGCTGTTTGCTTTCTGTGTGTGTAACAGAGATGTAAATGGCTGTGCTACATGAGAGAGGCCCAGAGGGCAGGAGAGAAGGAAGTGTCCATGCTTACTATTATAATTTAGTGTCTTAAGATTCGTATTGTGTTAGTTATTTTGCTTGGTGAAAGTGACTTAACATGTTCCAGCCATAAGAAGAGACAACCAGAAATGTGATAAAGCCAAAAAAAAAAAAAAACTATAGCAAATGATACTCTTGTGACAAGCCCTCCCCGTAATGCCACACTGTTTTCCCCAAATCCCCTCCCAAGCACACAGCAAAACACAAAACTCCTGTCAACAATTTGAGCTCCAAGTGAGAATGAGAGGTTGGGAAAATATATACAATAGTGTGGTTCTCTCAGTTGTATTCTTTTTTGAAAATATTGACTTCGACAGGCCACACTGTTTGTTTCAGTGTGGTTGAGAAAGATGAAATATCAAAGCCATTTCCTTTTACAAAAACCTTCTGGAGGGCTACTGAGTGTTACTTACCTTTGGGGGTGGCACTTTGAAGGGAGACCGAGGAACTGTAATTGAAGGAACTATGTGAACACTGGCCTGTCTGAGAAGTTTGCTTTCCCTACAACCCCTCACCTGCAAGATGCCTCTAGGAGCTATAAAATCTGTCCCTCCCTTCTCTCCAACAGTCACAGACAGAGATTGGCACTTTCTACAAGACAGGCTTTCCATCATGTAGTTTGCTGATTGTTTAGGTGGTTCTGAGACGTGAAATACTCTAAACCTAACTTCTCCATCATTTTCCAAACATATTTTTCTATGTGAGATTTCTATCTCATAGATGGCATTGACATCTCAATGCAAGGAAAGGAGCAGCTCAGGCTCCCTGCTTTGACCAACCTCCCCCACACTTCATCACCATCCCTGCCCCAGCCCCTGGAGCAACAGTCCCCAAAGGGCCATGGTGGTGGGGCGCCTGGCCTCAGAGCCTCCCTGCGTCCCTGGGCAGCTGTGGCAGAGCCCTGAGCATCACTCCTTCAGCAATCTTTGGTCTTTCCTTCTCACCTGTATGGGAAAAGAGACTTAGGCTGAGAAATGCATTGAGATTTTTTCTGGCCTGTGGTCCGTTTTCTTTCTATGGTCTGAGTGTGTAGGGTGAGCAGAAGCTATGAAGAGCCATGAGCAGTTCCGGGGGAGCAGCTGTGAGCATCATGGAAGGCTTCTGCCCTGTCGGAGGAGCCGGGATGCTCTTCAGCTTAGACACTACATCAGTGACACTGGCGTCTCCCCCATGCCAGGCAAAGTGGGGTGGGACCACAGGGAAGGCCACCCTCTCCCATGCCACACCCAGGAATGTATGTTTGGTCCCTGACATGTACAAAGGGAGATTAGGACTGGGGAATTTGAATCTTTCAATGTGCAAGAACTCTGGAGATTATTTAATCCGGTGGTTTGCAAATGGCTTTTAGCTGTCCTTTAGCTGCAAATGTCCTTTTGCTCAGGGAAAACTGTTTCAGAAGCAAATTTTTTGCAAGCAAAGGCAGATGTGTCTGGTTGAAGCAGGAGTAGGCTTTGGAGATAGAGATACTGACAGGCTAAAGAGGTGGGTGGGAGTAGCCTCATGATTGAATCTGCTTCCTCTTTAGGATTTTCTTAAAATAACATCACTGCAGTTTCGGTTAAGCCCTGGACACTGTTCACTTAGGCCTGAGCCCAGACCCTCCAGAGCCACACAGTCCAATATGGTAGCCATTCTTGTTTTATATTTTATTTAATTTTAATCAATTTAAATTAAGATAGCTCTATGTGAGTTAAAAATCTTTTAAATTCAGTTTCTTAGACACATTATACACAATTCTAGGACCCAGTAGCCATAAGTGATGAGTGGTTACCCATCAGGCAGCATGGATATCTTACATTTCCATCGTTGCAGAAAACTCTGTTGGACAGAAGTTCTGTTGAACAGCCCTGGTTTAATCATATGCTTTAGAGTCTAGAATTTTCTTAAGGGGACCCTGATTCTCTTGGATTCTGGAAAACCCAGTTAGAAAAGCACTGGTCGAATCTAACACCTGGGCGAGAAGAGAAGTCCACAGAAGCAGCGTGGTTTGCCAGCCACATGGCAGGTTATTGAAGAACTAGAGCTACACCTCAGCTCTCCCACTCCACCCTACTGCACTTCTAGCTGACCCCAACCCCTAATCTAACTGTTCTCTGTTGCCTCTCCAGAATTGCTGTCCACGCTAAGCCTTTTACCCACATCTCTACTGTTTAGAGAGGGAACCCAGATCTCAGACATCTCTGAGGTTTCAGAAGGGACATTAAATTTTATACATGTGCAATCAGCTTCAGGCACTTAATAGAGACATTTAAACTCACATCAGGCCCAAGCAGATGTAGAGGGAAATACTGTCAATTAGTGAGTGGCTAATTAATCTTTCTTTGCCACATATACTCTGGCAGGGTTTGGAAAGTGCTGTTTTGCTCAGAGCTGCAGGAGCACTTGCTATGGAAACAGTGCATGATTATAATATTGATTTCTCGACTTTGTGCAGAAGCCGGCAGTGGAGGGTAGATCTCGCCAGGAGTCACCCCACAGTTAGAAAGAAAAGGGATGAGAAAATAGAAAAATACTTTAATTAGTGAACCAGAGCATTTTGGGCTTTCTGCTTTGCATAGAATATACATATTTTATCCTCATAGCATCTCCCAATTTAGGTATTTCAAAATGATTTCCTAATCACATCTTGTTATTTTTCAATCTATGTATTATCATGTGCTTTTTTTCAATACACAGGGCTTCAGATTAATGAGGAGACCATTACAGACGAGGCATTGCTCTGGGACCTGGTACCTGCTTGTGCTTTGTCCAGAACTGAGCTCAGAACTTGCCCCATTCTACCACATGTCTGAAAACTTCTTCCTTCCTGTCCACATTCTGTAGTTGCCTCTGAGATATGTCTATTTATAAGGAGATGCTCTGAAAAGGGCCAAGACAGAAAAAATGATTTACTGATGAATATAGATGCAAAAATCCTTTAAAAATATTGGCAAACTGAATCCAAGAATATATGAAAAATATAACACACCATGATAAATTTGCATTCATCCTATAAATGCAAAATATATTTTGCATTGGAAAATCTAGTTTAATTCATGAAATTAACAAATTAAATAATTATTTCAATAGTATTGGATGAACTTTAAACATATGTGGTCTCCTATCTCTCCAAAGACCTCATACTAAAATAATAGTTCTTCTTAATAGAAGGAGCAAGGAATTATTGTTCCCAAATATTTGTACACACCTCCTCCCTGTAAGGGGAGAGTACTTCCTGGTTGGCTGACATCCAGCCTGGGCCATGTGACTTGCTCTGCCAGGAGTAGCACGAAAGCAGACATGATGTTTACTAAGTCTTGGCAGAGGCTTTAAGAGCTAATACATGTTTTATCCGTCATTCTTCTCTCCTATCCCCTCCTGAAAGGTCTCACTTCTAAATAAATGTTGCTTTTTCAACTTCCATTCCACAATAAAAAAGCACACGGAGCAAAAATGAAACAGAGTGGAGGCCAGCTCAGTTTCCACATTATGAAACTGAAATAGACATCTTTGTTGCAGTAAGCCCCCATGATCTGGATGTTGTTTGCTATCACAGTGTAACTTACTCTGTGATGATTGCTGTTTTAGAAAGAGTACCTACCAAAAATTTGTAGCACATACAATACTTACTAATAAAAAATTAACCTTATTCCCTTTAAAATAAAAAACAACGATGCCTTTGATTCAACATTGTACAGTAAGATAAGGAAAAATAAAACGTAGAAATTATAAAAGGAAATGCTAAGCTTTTGTTATTTGCAGGTAATAAGATTGTTTATATAGAAACTCCTCAAGAATATGGACATAATTTTACAAATCAGAGCACCTAAAATACCAACAAAATCATAATGCATCCAGGAAAAAAATCTAACAAAACTTGCGCAAGACTTCTTTGAACTTGTGTATGTTATTAAAATACATTAAGGTAAACATATTTAGATGCATATATTATTTATTTATTTATTTATTTATCTATCATTATTTTTTGAGATGAGTTCTCACTATGTTGCCCAGGTTGGTCTTGAACTCCTGGGCTCAAGTGATCTGCTCACCTTGGCCTCCCAAAATACTGGGATTACAAGCATGAGCCATCACACCTGGCCCTATATTTATTTTGTATATGTAAAACGTTTGTGATAGAAAGATACAACATATTAAAAATTTGGTCATTTCTCTTCAAATTGCTCTGTATAAATTAAATGCAATTCCTTTCACATTCAATCCAGAGTTGTTTATAGAACTTGATAAGTAGATTCTAAAAGTTTTCTGGAGAAGCAAAGCACAAGAATAGCTGAAACACTCCTGTAGAGGATGAACAAGATGAGGGGAGCTGTTTTGCCAGTTTTCATTGCCCTGTATATAAGAGAGCATAATACTGCTCAGGAACATAGACTAGACCAGTGGATCAGCACCGAGCATTTAGAAACAAGCCTGTACATAAAATGAAATCTAGTGTATAACTGGAATGATACTACAGATCAGTGAGGAAAGAATGGGTTGCTCAATAAATGATGTTATGATCATTTTTTTTCCATGTGGACAACAATGACACAAGAAAGCATACACAAAAATAAATAAAAGGGAAAAAAGATGTAGATATGGAAACCACAAACTTAAGACTTTGGGGGAAAATATAGAATATTTCTATGAGCTTGGAGAAGGAAAAAAATGATGAAAACAAGACCCAAAAAGAAAAAATGTAAATGAAAATAGGAAAGTTAACGGAGTTAAAATTAATAACACTTCTTAATCAAAAGATTCCTAAATGCAAAGATAAGCAAAAAGGAAAAGCCTGCCTCCCCACAAAGCAGTGGTAAAACATACGAATAAACACTTCACAGAAGAGTCAGCCCAAATAGCTATGAAATAAATGAACAGTGCCCAACCTTTTAAATAACGAGGATGTTCAAGTTAAAACCACAATGAGTTAAAGTTTTATACTAAAGTGCTGGTAAGGATGGAGATCACTGCAAAACAAACTGTGTGTGTATATATATATGTGTGTGTGTGTGTGTGTGTGTGTGTGTGTGTATCTATGCTATGTAGCTTTCTACAACCACTTTGGATAACAATTTTGTCATAGTAAAGTAAAAATATGCATATCCTATGACCAGGAAACCACACACACACACACACACTCACACACTGTACACGCTTATGTGTACACACCATCCCTAAAAATATCCCTGAACGGGGGCACCCAGAGATATGTCCAAGTATATTCAAAGAACCATTATCTGTACTGAGCTACTATTACAACTTTTAACACAGATGAAGCCCTGATACAAAAAATTTAATGAAAATGCAAGATGCAGGATACACATAATATGGTTTACATAAAGATAAAGAAATAACAAAAGTATACTGTATATGGTTGAGAATAGCCAGGGCTGACTATATAATTTTTGGGCTCAGTGCAAAATGAAAGTGTGGGATCCCTTTGTTCCAAAAGCAGGGGAAAAGCTTTTTTCTTTCTTTCATGGTCTCTCTCTATAGATAATGGCCATAGTATCTTGACAATTCATAGAAAAAGAAAGTATATTAACTCCAAACATTTGCAAAAGCACTCAACTTACAAAATATGCAAAGAAACCATTTTTTACCCATTGGATTGACAAATATAAAAAAATTGATAACACACTGTCTTACCAAGACACTCTCAAATAGTGCTAATGGAGAAATGAAAGGACACAGCCATTTTCAAAAATAATTTGTCAATATCTTTCAAAATTTCACGTCAAAAACCCTTTGATTCTATGGGAACTTCTCCTACATGCTTGAAATTATACGTATAAAAGGATGTTAATTGCAGCGTTTTATAATTCCAAAAGATTGGAAATACCCTAACTAGCCTAAAGCAAGAGAGAGGCCATATCTGGGTCTTTGGAAGGATAATGGAATGATATATTAAGCAACCATTAAAATATTGAGGTAGGTCTGTCTGTGCTAATAAATGATCACCAACATATATTGTTGAGTGAAAAAATAAAAAGAATGTTTTGCAAAAGAATGTGACTAATATGCCATCATATTTGTTGGAGAGTAAAGAGTGAGGGGAGAGAGAGACAGAGACAGAGAATATTTTTTCATATATATGTACTGTTGTTTGATGTTTGCGCCTCTCCAAATTCATGTTGAAAGTCCCCAGTGCAACACTGTTAAGAGCTGGGTCCTTTAGGAGGTGATTTATAAAGGATTGGTGTCCTTATGAAAGTGACTGAGGGAGAGAGTTCATCCTTTTTGCCCTTCCACCATGTGGGGACACAGAAAGAAGATGCCATCTTGGAAGGAGAGAGCAAGTCTTCACCAGACACTACAGCTGTCGGCACCTTGATGTTGGACTTCCCAGCCTCTAGAATTGTCAGAAATGAATTTCCATTGTTTATAAATTACCCAGTCTAAGGTATTTTGTTATAGCAACCAGAGTAGACTAAGACAACACACCTCTTCTGAAATGATAGAGTGGGTAACAGTGATTGTTCTTTAGGAAGGAAACCAGGACTTTAAAAAAACTTTATGCACTTAACATTTTAATCTGTGTCCACACACTACCTTTTAAAACAATTTTTTTTTAAAGTCAAAGCTTACATTATGTGCTTACATGATTGCCAGTTTATTATCAATGAAAAGCTACAATATTATTTCAACAACAGATAATTATTAAGAAATAAGAGGACCCCAGTGTGCCTGCTGAACAAAGAGAGAAGGACATTTTGGAGAACATAAAACATTCTACATTGGCTTTTGATGTGTCCGAAGTGAAACATACATACTCCCCAGAGCAAGGGAGTAAAACAACCTGAAAATTTAAAGACACAGGGGGAAGAAAAAGCCCACAAAACTATTTTTTTAACGTATATTGTTTTCCTGGTAAAATATGGTAGTGATCTAATCATCTAGTATATTCTGAGTACCCACCGCTATGTTAGAGTGTGAGAAAGGGGGTCTATAAAGGTGAGTAGGGCATAATCCCTGCCCTTCGATCTAGTTAGGAAGACACGCCCAGCATACAAGAAGCTCTATGGTTCTATCTGTAAAAGGTTCCATTTAGGCATGTGATCTATGACACCTCTAACTTTATTTTGAAATTCTAATCAGCAAGTAATACAAGATGATACAGTTTTAAGAGTGTTGGAGTATGGGTCTTAGTGCTGCAGAAATTTCACAACATGGAGAGTGTGGAGACTGGAATAACGGAAAATAACCTATTCCGGTAGGGACAGCTGATGTGGACAGGTGGGTGGGATTTGGTTTATCTGGAGGACCATCTTGCTATTGCAGTTTTTCTCCATCATCACATTGTGAGTTGTCTTTCCTCCTCTGCGCACGGCATGGCTCCTGTTACAGCCTTCCGTTGTTCAGCTCAAAAAACATCGTCTTGACAGTGGGGAGTAAACACGAAAGTTGGAAAGTAGCAACAGGCATAAATAAATATGCAGGCTCATCATCATTTTATATTTATTTTGGAACCCGTAGTAAAGAAGGCTTGCATGGGTCTCTTTTCATTCAGTAAGTTGAAAAGTAAAAACAGTCAAGTAGACAGACGTGACTTCATGTTGATCATCCCCATTGCTTATGAGCTGTGTAACCTTGGGCAAGTCATTGGGCTACAGCTTACTAACCAAAAACTAGGGAAAATAAACACTGTGTAGTGTTATTATGAAGCTTACATGAGACAAAGGTAAAGAATATATATTAGATACCTAATAAATCAAAGCCATTCACTTTTATTATTATTCCAAATCCAAGTTGCTTCTTTCTTCCCCAGGACATAGGTCCAGGCCGTAGATTCCGCTATCAGGATCTCCTCATCCATGGATCAGCACACAGCCCTAGGCCTACCTACCATCTCTTAAGGTAAATCCTTTCATTTTCAACTTACGTTAATAATAACACTAATAATTACAACTACTCTTTATTGATTACCTTCTATCAGCCAGGCACTATGTGCTAATCAGCCTGCATAAATTAATACAATAACACCCTTCTGCTCTAAGTTTCTTAAAACATTTAGCTCACCATTTATGCTGTCTTTATCATAGACAACAAAACTGAAAAGTTGAGTAACTTGTTCTCAATCACCTTATCATCAAAAAAAATATCCAAAATTATTTTATATGTCTGGCTGGGCATTGTACAAAAGAAATTGGCAAAAGATAATTCCTGTCACTAAAATTTACTCCTTGAGGAAGGCAAATCAATATCTTATACACTGAGGATAGACCTATAATTATGGTCTGCAACAGCCAGAATCAATCTTGCAGAGATGTCAAAAAAGAAAAGAAAAAGACAGAATATGTAAAACTTCCATTAACAGGAATCTAACTAATTATACAGTAAAATAAAACTCCCTTTTTCATCTTCTCTTCATTTTCTAGTCTCTATTCTTAGAACGAAAAATCCACACACACACACACACACACAAAACAAAAAAGCAAAGGATAACAAAACTTCCCATCAGGGATGTAGATGATGTTGATGTTGTTTGAATTTCGGGGATGTGCTGATGGGTGGCTGTCTTAGGGGGATAGTGACTGACAGAAAGTTGCCAACAGACACAGGCAAAGAATACAAATTCCTTTCCTTTAAAGGATTCAAGCAAGAACTTTGCTGCAATAAGAGTGGAGCACAGGGCAGGAGGTCCGGCAGCAAGCTGAAGTTCGAAGATGTAGTCTCCTTAGCCCCACATTTCCCATACCAGGGCATGAACTGTGGAGAATACCACCACATGAGGCTGACCATTTGCTCAGTGTCCTTCCAGAATGTATCTGGGTCTTCCTAGGTTGGTGGGGGAAGCAGGCTGTGGGAAGGTGTCTTTTTACCTCTATGGCACGTCTTTACAGTTTCAAGAGAGGGAAGTAGAAATTTTCACTATGAGTCCACTGCTTCTGGTGGACTTAATAGCTTGTTACGCAGAGCAAACTATTATTCGACTGTATGAGAATAAGAATGCATTTTGCCCTAGGGATAATTATATCCTTCTTTCATCTGCTTAAGAGCTAGTATGGGTCAGTCCTGCTCATTGCTGGGTAAAGGATGCAAACTGCATTGAAGTAGTCAATCCAGGAGTCTCTGAGGTCTGGCCACCCCAATTAGGATCACACTTCCATTCTGCTTGAAGTCCAGTTCTCATTGCTAAACTTAGCAACATTCAAGATTGAAAGATACAGTTGTACAGGTTATGCACTGCACAATTCTAGGGGACCTGCTGTTTTATTATGGCCCTGGATTCTTCTCAGTCTCCTATTCTTCTGCCTCCCCTGTGATTGCTTAATTCCATCTCAACAGTTTAGGATACGTGTTAATTCGTTCTCACACTGCTGGTAAAGACATACCCAAGACTGGGTAATTTATAAAGAAAAAGAGGTTTAATGGACTTACAGTTTCACCTGGTTGGGGAGGCCTCACAATCATGGTGGAAGGCAAAAGGTGTGTCTTAGGTAGCAGGAGGTAAGAGAGAGAATGAGAACCAAGCAAAAAGGGTTTCTCCTTATAAAACCATCAGATCTCGTGAGACTTATTCACTACCACGAGAACAGTATGGGGGAAATCGCCCCCATGATTCAATTATCTACCACTGGGTCCCTCCCACTATACATGAGAATTATGGCAGCTACAATTCAAGATGAGATTTGGGTGGGGACACAGCCAAACCATATGAGGATAATAACCAAAAGCATTGTAAGATCTCAGTGATCAAACGTGAGTAAGACCTATTCTCTATTTTCTACTTTATTCAGGTAGAAAACAGATAAACACAATAAATATCATGTTCTAGGATTTTAAAATAAGGTGTGAAAGAAAAAGTATCTCTGCTTTATAAAAAAAATTGATTCCACAAATTCATTTGGGGTTTTGCATTTTACATTTTTAATATCCTATTGTAATCACTGCAAAGGAAAATAGACTCTGTCTCTTGCCTATCTCCTCACTTCATCATCCTTTCCACATTGGAAAATTGTTTTATGAGGTTTTCTTTCAGCAAGAGTTGGCTCAATTTTAAGTATGTGATTCAAGAACCTATTAGCCTAAAGTGAATTGTGGTTTGGGAGGTTAATTTGTAATTCATGTCTCTCTACTGATAATGCAGGAAGGTATGAATAAAGATTATAGAGGGTACACACAGTATTAATACATTTTAAGCAGAAATGCAGATTGCATTGAATTAAGAGGGATTCAGCTATGCCTCTCGCTGGTTGGGATTATTACCCTTTCCTCAGATTGCTATTAGATTAGCTAGTCTAATGTCCCTGATTCCAAAATACAAGTGGTAATTAATCTCATACCCATTTATTTGAAACCCTACAGCAAAAGCAGAGGTTAAAGTCTTAACGCATTTAATGAAAGACTAATATTGAATTAGCATTACATTATTTACTACAACACCCTGGTGTAAGTAGCAAAATTTCCACGTGGGGCTACAGTCCTTTTTTCTCAGATTTCTCAAGTTCAGATAACACAATCTATTTTATCTCAGTGTCTCTCACCAATTCTTTCTCCATTGAGAGTGCTACTAAACAGACTCCTCATCCAGGGAAGGTAAAGGTTCAAGGACTGAACACCTTGAGTGGGAGGAAATGACAATTGAACCAATTAGCCCTTTTATAACCTCCCTTTAGTTTGAAGACAGGTTTTGTTCTGGCTTCTTTATACTGAGAAATTTTTTACACGTGGTAATCATTATTCTATAATTACATTAAATGCCAGCTTCTGTGATCTTTCTTGAACCCCATAAAGCTGTAAAGCAATTCACCTAGGCCATGATGAACTTTCTAAATTAGACACAATATACTGATTTAATGTGAATATAGCTAAAGCCCAGTGCGGGTGGCTGATCATATTTGGTTATACATGTTAACAAATGAGTAAAGAAGACTTTAGTAACTGCTCTTTCTCTTTTTCACACACACACACACACACACATTTCACTAGCTAAATTGCTGCTCAAGTATAATTCTTTTTTTTTTGAGCAAGCTCCGCCTCCCGGGTTTACACCATTCTCCTGGCTCAGCCTCCCGAGTAGCTGGGACTACAGGCGCTTGCCACCTCGCCCGGCTAGTTTTTTGTACTTTTTAGTAGAGACGGGGTTTCACCGTGTTAGCCAGGATGGTCTCGATCTCCTGACCTCGTGATCCGCCCGTCTCGGCCTCCCAAAGTGCTGGGATTACAGGCTTGAGCCACCGCGCCCGGCCTCAAGTATAATTTTTAAAATGATGAAAATCATGACTCATATCAATTCAACACAAGTCAAAAATTTTGTTTATCTCTTTATTTAAAGGGTAAACCAATAAGACGTTATTGGAAAGTTTAAAGAATTTAAAGACCGAGCAATCAGGGATATTTAAAGGTATTTGCTAATAAATGCAAAGCTGGTTAATACTCTCAAAGGCAATAAAATGTAATGTTTGGCATAATCTTTTCTACGGGCCAGAAATCATGTATATGCTTACCAGATAAAATCCATTTACATTGCTAAGAATAAGAATTATATGCACTTCTCTCATTTTCTACAACTTAATTCCACCTTGACAGAACTCAGAAATAGCCCAGTCAATAGAAACCAACCAAAAGTGTAACCTATATAGATTCTAATGTCCACCATTCCCAGAGTAAAGACAGTAAACCAAAAATAAAATCCTAAGCCCTCCCCAACTGATCAAATGGACACCCTCTTGGCCAAGGGGACCCCAGAGAAGCCTGAGAAATGGAATTCTTGACCATGGTGGGAAAGAAGGTTAGACACACCCTGTTATGCCCTCTTCCTTTTGGAGTTTAGGCACAACTGATCAGCATTAACATTAAAATAGAGATTATAAGACTGGCAAAACAGACTCTTTGTGGCAATAAGATATGAAATTCCAACCTGACTATGGTAGAGCATCACATGACAGATAGTAGGCCCTGAAGGAAATCAAAATATCTTACCCCAACTATATTTCTTTGACATATTTTGAAACGGCCCTGTAAAGCCATCTTTTGTGGGGGAAATTTGCATCTGTAGAGAATCTTCATTAATATAGTCAAGGCTTTCCCAGACCTGGAGAGATTTGCTAAGAGTCTGGCACCTTTTACCACTCAAAAGTGAGTATTTTGCTGAGAATGATGGTTTCCAGCTGCATAAACTATATACAAAAATTATGCTAAAAAAAAGTGAGTATTTACCATTTATTCTTTCTGAAGGCTATTACCTGGAGGCTTCATCTACATAACAAGAATCTTGGCTTCCACAACCCCACCTCATCTTAAGCATTTCTTTCTATTGACTTCAAGTCTTTAAACAAAGCTAACTCTTTCAACCAATTGCCAATCAGAAAATCTTTGAATCTGCCTATGACTTGGGAGCTCCACCTGCTTCAAAATATCCTACTTCTTTAGGCTGAACCAATGTATACCTTTCATGTATTGGTTTATGATGTTACAGACAATTCCTGTCCCCTAAAATGTATAAAACCAGCCTGTAACCTGACTGCCTCAGGCACACTTTCTCAGGATCTCTTGAGAGTATTCCCCAGGCCACAGTCACTCACGTTGGCTCAGAATAAACCTCTTTAAATATTTTAAAGAATTTTTAAATTTTGCTTTTTCCCCCCTTGTCAACAACACTTAGCTTTCTCTTTTGCCCTTTTCTAAGAAGGATCATTTTTCTGACAGTCAGCTAAAGCCAACTAGTCATACTGTGATTTCAGAGGAAGAGAAAAAGTAGTTGGAGAAAAATCAGGTGGATCAAATCCACACATGCCTGGGCTAAGTAAAGCAAAGGCTGAAATTCAGGAACATTCAAAATTCTAGAAATTTAGAGCTAGATGGGGCTTTAGAGATCGCCTGAGACTTTCATTTTATAGAAAGTACATCTTAGA